TAGGTTATCAAAGAGACTCAAAAGAGCTACATCAAGAGCCTTAATACAGAAGCTGGCATCAGATGAGGCCTGAACATCCACCTGGTAAAACTTGAAAAGATGGGAACAGAAGACTTTGCATATCTAAGAAATAGATGCCTGATGCTCAAAAGCCCGTGGAGAACTTACCAACCTAGTACAGTGCACTTTGACAGGGAAAAGGTGGAACCTTGTCTTTAAGTTTATAGACTTGAATGATGAGCTTTTGAATCCACCTAGACATAGTAGAGCATAGAGGGAGTACCCTATAAGAGGGTGTACCTCTGTGAGATAGATTCACTCAGCACATGCCACATTCAGACTGTAGATGGAAACAGTCTAGCTGTCATGGAACTGGACACAGAGATGGAAGAGCAATGTCCTGGTTAAGAAGAGAAAAGAAAGAGGCCTTAGGTCTCAAAAAAACTTAGTCTCTGTGAAGCACAGAAAAATGGTTCTTTATAGAATAAGGCTGCCAAGTCATAAACTCACCTTGCCGCTGTGATGTAATGAGGAAGGCAACCTTGTGAGTGAGAGAAGACAAGGGAATGTGCCTGATTAAAAGGTAGTTTCTGAAGGACCAGCAAAGCTAAGTTAAAATTTCATGGAGTCACTGGGGAACATAGAAGGGGATCAATGTGCATGACATCTTGTACAAAGGCTTTTACTAAAGAGTGAGAGGCAAGGGATGTTTGAAAGAGAATAACAAAATTTGATCTTGATAAAGGCCAGACTGTAGAAAAGACAGGAGTCATCCCATGGAGTACTTCCTAGGATGGAAATTCCTTGTTTTGCACCATGAAAAATATGCTTTCTAGGTGCAATGGACTCTACGAGAAGTCAACCTAGCTTTCAAGAGTATAGGGACGCTAAATCAGGGTCCCTGCTCCTTAGATTTCAATAGCCAGACTAATCAAGCCAGAGACTGAGAAGTAGGACAGTAAACTGGTTCTTGGGAAGATCTGGGAAAGCCCACAGGAGAGTCTGCCAGGAGTCTGCCAAGGTCCGGGAACCATGTCTGGCTAGGCTAGTTCAGTGCATTAAGAATCACCAGAATACCTTTTATCTCCTGCGAAGCAGTCAAGGAAAGAGATTTAGAGAAAAAGAGGCATAGAGCAGGTTGAGCTGATCCCACGGTGTTACCAGAGCCACTAAGGATGCTAGAGAATGCCTGGACCTGTAGAAAAACTTGCTCAGTTTGTCGTTGAACCTGAAAGCCAGGAGATTCATGTCCGGCTTTCCCCTCTTGCAACAGCAATCCTCAGGATGAAGAGACAATTCTTCCGAGTCCAGACGGTGATGACTGGGGAAGTCCACCTGACAATTTTTCATGCCTTGGATATGCATGGCTGACAGGGCTGAAGCATGGAGTTCTGCCCAAGCTAGAATCTAGTCAGCTCTGAGCTGAAAGACTTCTATTTCCTCCCTGGTGGCTAATGTAAGCCACTGCCCCACAGAACTATAGGTGGATCATAAACTGTCAAGGCCCACAAGACTGCTGTCCTTGTGCTTATGATCTCCTATAATAAGTATGCAAGCAAGGGCTTCCCACAAGAGGTGCTAACAAGAACAAGCTGGAGCAGCAAAAATGTGTCAGTGGAGGCAACAGGGAATACAAGTAAACGTCCCGAGGATCATGGTGTGTGTGTGTGTGTAGTTGAGGAGATGGTAGGAGAGACTGAGCATGCATGCGTGCACAGTATGACCAAGCAGAAGGAAGCTGGGCAGAAACAGTAGGGATGCATGGACAGTGAGCCCAGTATAATAGTGTCAATTTTAAAAATGGTGCTGTGCCTCCTCCCGCTGCCAGCCTGCATCCAAAACTGTTGCAGCTGGTGCTTCTGAGTTAACCCTTTAGGGACTCTAGAAGCAGTTTAAGCACACCCAGGCTTACCAATGCCCTGACTTACCAAAGCAATGGTCCTGAGATGTCTTACGTTTCCCACCAAGTAGAGTTTAGAGATTTTGGGCAGGAGCCAGGGGGTATGACCCAACCAAACAGCCTTTGCCCTTTCAATGGGCATACTCCCTAAGGAGTCTTCAGAGACAGGGTTCCAATGGTTCCACCAGACAGGGGCACCATTGCCTTGGATCTGAAAATAACGCTGCAATTAACTCAATTGTTACACCAAGGGTGTCTAGGAGAGCATCTTAAACAGAGTCCAGTGCTCTGAAGACACAATATAGCTCGGCCCCGCTTCTTCCTCACAGTGGGTCCGGGTATGGCCTCCAAGGCAATGCAGGGAGCAGATGATCTGGAAAGTTGCAAAATTAACCCCATTGGGTCTGCTAAAGAGAAGAGGCAGAAAAATTATGAAGTGGTTTGCTTCTCGCAGAGGAAAGAAGACTTCTGTTCTCTTAGGACAATAGCAAAAAACTGGAGCATGATGGGAGTATTAGAGGTTATACTAGCCTGTTCTTACAACTTTGTTTTCACAGTATCCAATCTCCCAACAGCACAGGCCTATATACCTGAATAACCACCCTGTGGCCCTTAATGTACAATTAAGAAATATTGGTTCTCTAACATTTATATTGAAACACAAAGACAGATGTTTCACAATCCTGTATTCTTTTCACTGAGAGATAGTCAGCGTATGGTCACCTTTACTTCTAATAGTTTATTTAATTTGGGCCAATACCAAGTGGCTTCCATTACACCATATTGCAAGAAGGTTCTGAAAGCAAATAGAAATGAAAAAATAGGCATAAGAATCATACAGGGTTTATAATTATGAGCTTCTGTCACTGTTCCCATTTTCTAGCACCCCTGTCGTGACACAGCCCTCTACACAGTCTCTGCAGCAGACACATTGACACACGGCATGTGGGAGCTTAAAGCACAGAAGCACCCAGATGGGGCTGGCAGAGTGTAGAACACTCAATAGTGTAAGCCTGTAAACACTTAGGCAGGAAAATTGCTTGTGAACGAGATAAAATATATGGAACGACAAGGAGAAACACCTGATTTTCTGGTTAAAAAATTAGAATTACCCAGAAATCAGTCAGAAGCAGGAAAATTAAAATATGTAACAAAGTTTTAGGGAAAATTAATTTGCCATTTAACAGTACCTCAAAAGTTAGACACACAAGCAACTTAATGTCATGAAACTGAAATCAACTTTTTTAGAATAATCTGTATTGTGCATTGCAGATATGGTCAATGTATTCCCTAGATTCTATTACCTACACATATCTCTACCCATATTTAACTTTGTTAACAAAGGCTATTTTAGTTAAAGGAGAATTATGAGGGGAGTGAAAACCACTTATGCCCATCATTCAAGCTGACCTGTGACAAAGAAACTGTCACAGGTCGGCTCTATTGACCAGGAAGTCAGCGAACACACACCGCCGATCGCTGACTTCCCTATCCTCTCCCTGCAGAAAGTGGTGACAGGGATTCCTCCCCTCCTCCGTTTCTCCAGCACAGACTTGAGGAATGGACGGGGGAGGGGGCAGGCACAGCTGGCTCTGTCTCTAGAGAGCCATCTGTCAATCAGCGGGTGGATCTCAACGATATTGTCGGGATCCGTCTTGGCTGCAGCACTCTCAGCATATAGTGAGCAATAGCCCGCTATATTCTGAGGTTTGGGTCACCGGAGGACACAGTATATGTGACCCTGAGGAGGACTATGGGCAAAAAAGGTTGCACCATTGTTCTTCTTTGAGGAGCAAACATGCATCCCAGGACCACCAAAGATCAATGGTAGAGTAACTTTAAAAGAACATGGAAATCAAGGCTGTCACAACTATATCTGAGCCATTCCAGATCGGAGGCTGAAAACAGACCCCTAGTATTAGTATTAATAAGGTAACCAAGCTCTTTGAATGTATGTAATCATTATAAATAAAATCATACTTTCTAAGAAAAGGTAACCCTGAATTTCTTGCCCTTTCATTACCTTTAAAATGGTCCTTTCCCATAATAAAATACATGACAGTCCACGCTTAACATTATAATGCAGTTTTATTTACCGTATATACTCGAGTATAAGCCGTCCCGAATATAAGCCGAGGTACCTAATTTTACCCAAAAAAACTGGGAAAAAGTATTGACCCGAATATAAGCCGAGGGTGGGAAATGAGGCAGCTACTGGTAGATAGATACCATTAAAATACATTAATATTTATTTAAAAGAAAAATAACCTAGCTCTGTAAGTGGAAAAGGGGGTACAGGGCTACATATCATGTACTACGGATCATTTAACCCATTCATATTAGCAGAGGATAATTGTAAATCTATTGTTCAGTGCACTCTATATGTAGTATATAGTACATGTACATATAGAGTGCCTGCAACAATACATTTACAATGATCCTCTGCTAACATGAATGGGTTAAATGATCCATAGTACAGGGCTACATACAGATCATTTAATACATTCATGTTAGTATAATTGTAAATGTATTGTCTGCACTGTATTAGCAGTATATACTCTATATAGAGTATATACTGCTAATACAGTGCAGACAATACATTTACAATTATACTAACATGAATGTATTAAATGATCTGTATGTAGCCCTGTACTATGGATCATTTAACCCATTCATGTTAGCAGAGGATCATTGTAAATGTATTGTTGCAGGCACTCTATATGTACATGTACTATATACTACATATAGAGTGCACTGAACAATAGATTTACAATTATCCTCTGCTAATATGAATGGGTTAAATGATCCGTAGTACATGATATGTAGCCCTGTACCCCCTTTTCCACTTACAGAGCTAGGTTATTTTTCTTTTAAATAAATATTAATGTATTTTAATGGTATCTATCTACCAGTAGCTGCCTCATTTCCCACCCTCGGCTTATATTCGGGTCAATACTTTTTCCCAGTTTTTTTGGGTAAAATTAGGTACCTCGGCTTATATTCGGGACGGCTTATACTCGAGTATATACGGTACAATTCCAAGTTTGCTATGTCTGTGTGTAGCACAATTCCATATAAATACCACATAAATAGCACATACCAAATGCTTGGATTTAATTCCTGCTGCTTGTAAGAGTCAAAATCATCTCGTAAAATAATGCTTTCCCTATGGATTTCAGCTGAAAAACAAAATTGATGCAGAATATTACAAGTAATACCAAAATGTACCTTAATGCAGATCTGCGACAATGTATTGTGCTGGTATTTGTTGACATATGTTAAAGAATATTTTAATATGTTTCCAACACTTGTTCAAACATTTAGAAGAACTGCAGAAGTGTAGTCACTACAGTTCCTTCATTCTTCAGAACTATTTTGTAGGGGGGAAAAAACCTCACAACACCTACCTGATTCAAGGAAAACAAAAAATATAATTTTTATTCTAAAACTGTAACAATATATTCTTCTACTATTATTCAAATACATAAGTTGACAAGCAAATACTAGTTGATTAAAAAAAATCAGAAAGGAAGATGGTAAAAGCTGTTTTTTAGCATGATTATTAGTTAAAATGTAGTGTTTGAAACACCAAGTCAGATTCAACTGATCAGCCTGATGCTTCCAAGAATAAACCATACGAGGCGAATTGCGACTTTGGCAAGGCATCAACATTTTGCATCACAGTAAATATGCCTGCTGTTTACTGTGTCATAAATCAATGTTGTGCCAAAGCAAAACATAGAAAAGTGATTGAAAATGTCAAGCGCTTCTACTGATTTCTGGAGGGGAGCAAACATAAAAAATCTTGATATTTATGCAGATGAAGTGTATGTAGCATGTTCCATAAGATAAAAGTAGATTTATGACTCACCTAAATTTGGACGCAAAGGCGCTTCTGTTGGAGCTTAAAGAAAAAAAATGTTGAATTAATTTTTTTTTACAATATAGCACCAGAATATTTTCTATGTAACATTTAAAAAAAAAGATTGTCCTGACTTAGGCTGCACCTAGCCTTGGATAGATAATGTAAACTATTGTCTAATCTGTTTGGTCAGGGGAAAAGTCTTGGCACTTTGTTATGAAGCTTTGCCGTTATGCATAACCACAGATTATAAGCATACCCATGTTGTTAAAGTGTACGGTATCTAAACCCGGTGATCCAGCCAGTAAGTCTGTTATTTTTCAACGAGATCAAGCTGTCCAGCAAAAGTGGCAGATAAAGGGTTGAGACAAACCATTTAACACTGACAGCTTTTATTCATTTATGTAAAACAATTTATCCCAAAAGAAGAAAAGAAAAATTGTTGCTGTAACTGTTTAAAAAGTGTTAGCTTGAGTTCAGATTTAATTTGTAAGTCAAGCCAATCTAATTCTGCTAGTTATTCTAAAACTACCCTCTTCACAGGCTTATAATGCGACTGTCCACAGGTGGTTCCATTGATCCTCCATAGAATGGAGCTACCCCAAGACAGGAAATGTGTTACTGGCTGGATCACCAGGTGAATATAAAGTGGGGAAAAAACCCTAAGCTAATTCAGCCACTGCGTTTAAGGATTTGTAACCTGCAATATATTAAATGTTTGGTTTTGGGTTAAGTTCACTTTCTTGGTCAGGCAATCCAGAACTGAGATTCCTCTGGGGGACCCGTGACCATGGGATAGGAGCTCACCATAGAGCCCCTAGAGCAGACGAACACTGTGTGAACACTGAGACCGTGGCGCTGTAGTCACAGCGCCACCTGTCTCAGCGGTCACTAACTGCAGCTTCTGTCACAGTTTCTGTCACAGAAACTGTCACAGAACCTGCCTGCGTCCTAAGGTCCGGTGCGCCTTATGGATCGCAAAATACGGTATATCATTTCATGTGACGACACAGAAGAAATTGCACTTTGCTACAATGTAAAGTAGTGTGTGTACAGCTGGTATATCAGTGTACATTTGCTGTCACCTCAAAATAGAGGAGGGGAAGACCCGAAAACAAGATGCTCAATAGGGTTTAGGTCTGGAGACATGCTTGGCTAGTCCATCACCTTTACCCTCAGCTTCTTTAGCCAGGCAGTGGTCGTCTTGGAGGTGTGTTTGGGGTCGTTATCATGTTGGAAAACTGCCCTGCGGCCCAGTCTCCGAAGGGAGGGGATCATGCTCTGCTTCAGTATGTCACAGTACATGTTGGCATTCATGGTTCCCTCAATGAACTGTAGCTCCCCAAGTGTCCGCAGCACTCATGCAGCCCCAGACCATGACATTCCCTCCACCATGCTTGACTGTAGGCAAGACACACTTGTCTTTGTACTCCTCACCTGGTTGCTGCCACCATCTGAACTAAATAGGTTTATCTTGGTCTCATCAGACTCCAGGTAATCCATGTCCTTAGTCTGCTTGTCTTCAGCAAACTGTTTGCAGGCTTTCTTGTGCATCATCAGCCATGCAGACCAATTTGATGCAGTGTGCGGCATATGGTCTGAGCACTGACAGGCTGACCCGCCACCGCTGGCAGCACTCATACGTCTACTTCCCAAAGACAACCTCTGGATATGACGCTGAGCATGTGCACTCAACTTCTTTGGTCGACCATGGCGAGGCCTGTTCTGCGTGGATCCTGTCCTGTTAAACCGCTGTATGGTATTGGCCACCGTGCTGCAGCTCAGTTTCAGGGTCTTGGAAATCTTCTTATAGCCTAGGCCATCTTTATGTAGAGCAACAATTCTTTTTTTCAGATCCTCAGAGAGTTCTTTGCCATGAGGTGCCATGTTGAACTATCAGTGACCAGTATGAGAGAGTGAGAGCGATAACACCAAATTTAACACACCTGCTCCCCATTCACACCTGAGACCTTGTAACACTAACGAGTCACATGACACCGGGGAGGGAAAATGGCTAATTGGGCCCAATTTGAACATTTTCACTTAGGGGTGTACTCACTTTTGTTGCCAGCAGTTTAGACATTAATGGCTGGGTGTTGAGGTTTTTTAAGGGGACAACAAATGTACACTGATATACAAGATGTACACTCACTACTTTACATTGTAGCAGAGTGTTATTTCTTATGTGTCGTCACATTAAATGATATAATAAAATATTTGCAAAAAAATAATAATATATATATATATATACATATATATATATATATACATATAAGTCTTGTTTAAAAGGTACGATATAGTTAAATATAAAAATATTGCATTTAAACTGACTCAAGTGATAAAGCCAGCCTGCTGAATGGCTATATTTCTCGTTCTTAACCCAATTATAAGCAGTAGGCTGCCTCACTAGCTAAATTCCAAATCAAATGGAATGTCCATACCCTTACCTTCTAAACCCCTCTGAATATGAGACTACAAAGAGTCCAGCCAATGGGCTTAAATCACCACCCTTTCTCTGACTATTACACTTTACCACAAACAGTGTATCATGAGAAGGAAATTGTACAGCATAGGATCAAATAACATGAGTCTACAGTTCTACCAGCTGTCCTGTCAGGAGCATGACAAAACTAGATTGGAATCCCATTTTTACATTGCACTGGATGCACTAGATTCTCATTCTTACAATAATTCTCAGCAGAAGGCTGCCTCACTAGAGAATTCCATATTAAATAGAATGTCCATACCTTTACCTTCTAAATAGCTCTGAATATGGAGATATCAAAAGTCCAGCCATTGGATCAAATAAGAAAAGTCTATAGTTCTACCCAGATGTCCTGTAAGTAGCCTGATCAACCTGTACTGGATTCTATGTAACTCCAATTAAAGAGGAACGTTACCCATACATTTAAAATGACAAGAAAGACACTGTTAGAAATGTTTAGTAAAGGCAATCTACAAACAGATACTTCTAGATAATTGCAGGCTTTTTATTCTTTGCATACCTAATTTTTCTTTTTCTTCCCAGCCTTCTCACAGTGGCCATTTTTACTAAGGGCAGATTACGCCATCTGCCTTTACTTCCTGGAACTCTGGCACATGTGTCTAGGACATGTGAACATGCACATTATCTCTGGGGAAAAAATTATTTCCCTGAGATCTTGCAAGATGTTGCAGTTTGCAGATGAGATTTCCCATCAATGCTCTGTGATGTAACCTTCCCATGATGCATCTCTTGGCTTGGACTATATCACTAATGCCAAAGAGGACCAAGACGTGAAAAAATAGTAACTATCAGCAAAATAAAAATATGTTTGTTTAACTAATACATTTAAGTTTCTCTGCATACTGATATTAATTTCATATCAGTATGCAGAGCTGCACGTTGATGTAATTTTTAGAGAAAGGGATAAAGACCCACTTTAGGGTAAAACTGAGGGGACTGTTTCTAACACTGTTGCAGTGTTTCCTGGATAGTTTTTGTAGTTCACTAATGATGTTGTAGTTGCCTTGAGCCGAACTTTATGCAGTATCCCCAACTATTAAAACAATTATGAATTGGGGGGCGTGGCGAGCAGCCGACCAAGATGGCCGCGGTCTAGGCGAGCTCCGCACAATTATGAATTTTAGTTCAGCGTGTCTAAAACAGACACTTTTATACAACAAAGTTATTCCTGCTAAAGATAATCAGTCAACTAAGTGCATGCAAAAAATAGCCAGTGACTTCATTTTTATTGTATTGTCAGTATGTTTCATTTAAATCTGCTCTTTTATTGAAATGTATGAGTTTACCCTGGAGGATGTCACCCAGATCAGACTTTCTGCTATGAGAGCTTTTATAAAGTGGCATGCAGCGTTTAGACCAAGATGAAATAAACCTGCTAAGGTAAAAATGGGCTTCAGAGACCTCTGTTATTTTCTACATCTGTCAAAGAAGTGATTAAACAGCTTCTGAAAAACAGTTTTGATAATATAGAGAACATTTCCAGCAGTTTTCATGCCAGTAGAAAATTTGTTATGAAGTACTAAAGAGCTTTTCTTTATGTAACTATTTTTTTGAAAAGCAGTCACACTGCCAGGCCAAGAGACTGCTCATTGCACATACAGGGTATCTGTCATCTGAGGGCTTTGTCATGTAAGGCTACACAATACTGGCTTTATGTGTATCAACTTTTTATTTCCTTTTTATGTTACACTTTTAACTACATATGAATGATTTTCAGAGATGCATCACACGCATGTGAAATAGTTTTAAATGTCACGATAGCATTAAATCAACGTAAACAATAAAAGATTCTTAATGAAATTGGAGAATAGAGTTGTTAGTAGCCACCAATGACTTTATTTTTGTGAAAAATTAAACAGAAATTCAGACTGGTCACTATAGACAACATCTCAAATTTTAGGCACAATTTATTTTCCTCCATTTAATTAGTCTGTCACCAAGAAAGCAAACTGTGCTGATTAACTGACAATTGATTTGAATTGTTCTAGCTTTTTCTGACTTAAATCTCTATCAGTGCTATGCTGACCACTTGATAAAAGATATGAGCATGCTAGAGTCAAACATTATCACGGAATGTGATCAGCATGCAGCACTAGATAAGCATATCATTAACAACCAACAATGCCTTTAAAAACTGTAATTAATGTAAATAATAAAATTCAGAAGTCAATTAGCTGTCTCTGATGCCCAGCAGATATAATATTAGCAACCCTTGATGTTCTAGGAGGAAGACTATTTCCAGACATTGGAAAGAACACTTGCTAGGGTTCAGCTAATGTCTTGATCTTGGGTCTAGCACATAATCTGGCCTCTGAAAGAAACCAAATTGGCTTCAGTTTCAAAAAACTTCTACAAAAATGGTAAGCTTATGATGAAGTGAATGAGAAAGAATCTTCTGAGAATCATCAGGGACTTCAAGAGTTGTTTGATTAGGTTCCTAGAATGCAGGGATGAAGAGTAGTACCAGAGCTCACAAATAAAGAATAATACTAACCTGTATATAATCACTAATTTATATGACCTGTTAATACTTAATATGTTCACTAGTAATGTCTTGTTTCGCTATTACAAATTAATGGCAAGTAATTGCATTATGAACAAGGCCCATTCCTAAAACCCTGGCACGGAATGGCGACTGATTGATATTCTACTTTGATATGTATTTCAGGCCTTTTTTTTTTCTTAACATGTTTGTGTCTTCCATTAGCCTTAAAGCCGAAGTCCCCTGGTCCCTCATTAGTAAAGATAAAAGGTAACAGATCCAATGATTGTGAGAGGACAAGTGCCTTAAGCGTTTATAAAGCTACGGTCTTCTTTGATCAATAAAATAATCCCCTACAATGAATATCAGAAATATGAAAAATACTGCAAGAAGACAACATATGCATTAAATTTTAATGTTCATCATCCCTTACCTCCTTGCTCACACAGCTGTTGTGCGAGGGCATCTTTGAATATAACCTGGCCTCTATGGGTAGCGGTAGCCCTGTAGACAAAATTAAAAAAATAATTATAGTATATGATTTGGTTTACAAAAATGACACTATACAACTTGCTTTTTCCACGTCTACCACTTACTAAGAAGTTTTTGTTGTACGCCGCAGACCTTGTTAACAATTAAACGTAGTCAGCTATGAGTCTACTCAACTTACATAATAATGAAAGCAATGTGTGGTAGCCTCTGAATATACAATGTTCATTAATCTAACTTCCCTCAATTAATGAAGTGTTAAATCTGATTGTTTGATTTGCTGTACAAGGCACATTTTAATTCTAATTTGTACTACTCTATTAAATAAGCCCAAATATATAGTCAATGTGCACTATGATAATATGCACATATTTTAAGACTTTATCAGATTTGCTTATCAAAGTTCTTTCACCTATACATTCATATTACTACACAAGTCAACATGTTATTGACATAACCTTTTATCAGAATCAATGTACTGTTGATGCATTCATCATTGTTATAAATGCTGGATTTTATATAAGTGTTCTTTAAAATATGCACTTAAACGGTTGAATGTTTTGTTGTGTGAAAGAATGTATATACAGTACTAGCAGAATGTCAGTATACCAGTCAGTGATGGCTTAATTAATGTAACCACTGAATAAACATCAAATAATATTTAGAGTTAGAAAATGTATTCCGTGTAAGAAAGTAGAATGTTTGTAAAAACAGTCTTGATCATATAGTCACCAGCACACACATAGAATCATAAATCCTAGTTCAATTTATTGACATAGTCACAATTTGTGGATAAGCATCAGATATACCCCCCCTCTCATGCTACTGGGTTGCCATGGCAGGGAGGGACGCTTCAATTTCGGTAGAACGGGCAGCTGTCACTTCACATCCACTGTAAGGAGACATTACATTCAAGAGTTCTTTGTTTACTAAAGCTTGTCCATATGTAACCACATGTAAATATTTCTTATTGTGTGGGGACATATGTACTAGGGAATATGTACTGATCAACATTGTTTTGATAGGTTTCTTTTGAATTCTGGCAGGATACAACATCATTGTGACATCATAGGGGTGTGTTTGTGAACTTGGTGTTAATTTGTGCTTTGCATGTATACGTGTGTGGTATGTTTTCTTTTTTACAAAATATTTATTTATTAATTTTTAAATTACTTCACACAGATACATTAAAATCTTACAAACAATTCCTTGTTACTCCACTTAGAACATGTGTGATATGTTATTGAAGTGTCACTTGGTTACCCTGAAGAAGGGACCCTGGACCAATAAATTAAACCATGATTTATGATTCTACTGTGTGCTGGTGACTATCTGATTAACACTTTGGAGTTCACATGGCACCATCTGTGTCATCACTACAAGCACCACCATCTTGAAAGGTCATAATGCCGTATGGAGTGCAGGTGACAGTCAATACTATTGTTTGTAAAAACAATTACTTACATTGAATGCCTCTATGTAATAGAGATACAGGAATTGTGTTTGTCACTCTTCACAAACCATAGATCCTGTATGTGTGATATTTTATGCATTAGGATATTTATTTTCCACAATACTACACAGTAATGGGACGTGTAATATAGGTTAGGGATGTCACTAGTCACCAGCACACAGAGCACATGCCCAGGATCCCTGTTGAGAACCCAAGGTGTGGGTATTTTTTACCAAATTGTATATAGAGAGTATCAATTAGGGAAGTTGAACCCTATGAATTTAGACAATTCTGGCGTACATAACTATTGCTTGCTTTCATTTATCTGCATGGCTCCAGCAAAACATGCAACATTCTTTGAAATGAAATAAAACTGGACTGCACATGTATGAGGGAGGCACACTGAGTGGCTGGGTAATAACTGAAGTAAAAGTCGCAGAGAACTAGGAGGCTACAGTGACTGCATTATTTTGTGCTGAAAGGGCCTGTGTTAAAGTAAAATCCTCTGTTGCATAGTTTATCAGGTTGAAAAAAGACACATGTCTTTCGAGTAGAGATATGAAATAGAGATATAAAAACTAAAAAAGAAGAAAAGCCTAAACAGAAGCTATGCCCACAATTACCCACTGTTGATCCAGAGGAAGGCAAAAAGCCCCTATAAAGCATGGTTCAATTTGCTCCAACAGGGGAAAAAAAATTCCTTCCTGATCCCATAAGGCAATCGTATATTCCCTGGATCAACAATCTCTGATGCTTAATATACCTATAAGAACTCAATATCCAGTAATATTCTGTGCATTAAGGAATACATCCAGAGTGTTTTCAAAACAATGACCTGAGCTAGCTAGAACTAGCTCCTGGGGGAGTCTGTTCCACATTTTCACAGCTCAACTGTGAAGAATCCTATCTGTATGCAAAGGTTACACCTCTTTTCCTCCAGACGCAAAGAGTGCCCTCTTGTCCTTTGCAGTGACTTTAACGTGAATAATTTGGCACCAAGCTCACTATATAGACCATTTATGTATGTATACATGGTGATCATGTTCCCCCTTAATCGCCTCTTCTCTAGAGAGAACAAATTCAGGTCAGCTAATCTTTCCTCATAGCTGAGCTCCTCCATGCTTCTTATGAGTTTAGTCGCCCTTCGCTGCACTTTCTCCTGTTCCACAACATCCTTTTTGTGAACTGGTGCCCAAAACTGAACTGCATATTCCAGATGAGGTCTTACTAATGCTTTGTACAGGGGCAGGATTATGTCTATATCTCTGGAGTCTATACCCCTTTTATTACAAGAAAGTATTTTGTTTGCTTTAGAAACTGCGGCTTGACATTGCATGTAATTATTGAGTCTATGATCTACCAGAACACCCAGATCTTTCTCCATCATTGACTCCCCCAAACATACTCCCCCTAGAGTGTATGAAGCATGCATGATTTTAGTCCCCAAGCTCATAACTTTACATTTATCAACATAAAACCTCATTTGCCAAATAAATGCCCAATCACACAGTGCATTCAGATCTGCTTGTAGGTTGGAGGCATCCTGTAAGGACTGTATTCTACTACATAACTTAGTGTCATCTGCAAACACAGAAACAGTACTTTTAATCCCCAACTCTTTGTCATTTATAAATAGGTTAAACAGTAAGGGGCCCAACACTGAACCATGGGGCACACCACTAACAACCTCAGACCATTCAGAGTATGAATCATTGATCACCACTCTCTGAATACGGTCTTTAAGCCAGTTTTCTATTCATTTACAGATCGAATACTCTTTACCTACAGACCTTAACTTATACATTAGACACATGTGGGGAACTGTGTAAAACGCTTTTGCAAAGTCCAAGTATACTATATCCACAGCCATTCCTCCGTCCAATTTATTACTCACTTCCTCATAAAACGAAAGTAGGTTTGTTTGACAACTTCTGTCTTTTGTGAATCTGTGCTGACTATCGACTATGATATTGTTTTCAAACCAAAACAATTGCACGTGATCCTTGATCAACTTTCAAATATCTTCCCAACTATTGAAGTTAAACTTACAGGTCTGTAATTACTTGGTAAGGACTTTGATCCCTTTACAAATATAGGCACCACATTGGCCTTGCGCCAATCCACCTGGATCGGATGGGTGTAAGCCATCCGATCCAGGTGCTTTGTTCACCTTAATTTTGTCTGTTTCTGGACCATATCGATAGTCAGCCATTGTGGTTCAGCAGAGGCTATCGTACTGCTATCTCCCATATGGACTTGAGTTACATCTTGTTCCTTGGTGTGCACAGAGCTGAAGAAGATATTTAATAGATTTGCCTTCTCTTTGTCCCCAGTTACCGACTCTGAGTTATCTTTTAAGGGGCCTACATGCTCAGACCTTCTTTTTTTTTTTTTTTACTATTAACCCTTTTGCTGCCAAGCCCTCCGGAACATTTTTCAAATCAGCTGGCCAAGCCATTTTTGAATTTTCTGCAATTTTTTCCTATTGGTTTGATTTTCAACATATTTAAATAATTTTGGGGGGTTAATATTTGCAATCTTTATTTCCTTTTTACATATTTTGTTATATTCTTTGTAGCTTTCAAATGACGACAGTGTTCCTTCATTTTTATATTTTTAAACGCCCTCTTCTTATTGTTTATGGCAGCAGAGCATCATTGTCATGCAATAAGTTTATAAATGTCCGCCCTTTTACTGTTCCAGCAGTGCTATTATGCCAGTCAATGTCAGGATAGTTAAAATCTCCCATTAATACTACTGTCCCCGCCCTTACAGCCCTTTCTATTTGTTTAAGGCAGGGGTCTCAAACCTCCGGCCCTCCAGCTGTGGTGAAACTACAAATTCCATGTTGCAATCTCTCTTCGGGAGTCATGTCTGTGGCTGTGAGAATCTTGCAATGCCTAATGGGATTTGTAGTTCCATCACAGCTGGAGGGCCGAAGGTTTGAGACCCCTGGTTTAAAGAGTACAGTAGGCTTTAAATGGCTCTTGGGGGTGACAGAGGCTCCTTTCATTAGCCTCATTATTGTACAAGGAAAAAAAAAAGAAAGACAACAAAATTAGTAAGACTTATTCACGCCAGGGCGCATTCTGCATCAAAGTCCACTCACTTTTAGATCACTTCTATCGTAGAGACAAACACCGCCACCTTTTCGTTTTACCCGGTCTCTCCGAAAGAGAGCATAGCCAGGAAAATTAACAGGCCAATCATGTGAAGAACCAAGCCAAGATTCAGCAATACCCTCCATTATAGTCTGTTTCTAGTTCTCTCATCTGGAATCATGTATTATGAGCTGTATTTCATTCTGGCTTTCCTGACCAGTGGTTGAGAAAAATAGTGTGTCAGTTAGGGCTATCTGTTTGTGGATTACAAATATTTTTAAACAGCAGAACATTA